TGGACAATAAATTGGAAATCCGCCGCAGCACCAAACGTCTTGGAAAGACCGCGCTCACTTTTCCTGCCATCGCATTAGCCGAGTGTTTTAGGTTCTTCAAAGGTTACACGTTTTGTGCCCTTTATGACTATGATAATTATACAGAATGAAGCCTCTTAGAATTAAACAGTCATTTGAATTCAATTTAATCTCGGCCAATTGATTTGTTGAATGCAACAAAAAAAAGAAGTAAATACAGTGACACTGTGACCGTGATGGGTTAAATTGTGGGTCCAATATTAAAACAAAGCACCTTAACGACATTGTGACCAAACTGAAAACCAAGGCTTTTTTCATATAAAACAATATCACGGAAAGGAAATATAGCAATATGGCAGAAACACACAGAAAAGCGTGTTTCATGTTTGAAGAAAGTTACGTAATTAATGTCTAGGATTAAATTGAACATATCCTGTTACAAGAGAAAGCATATATATTAGAGGGAGTGTTGTGTGTGTGTGTGTGTGTGTGTGTGTGTGTGTTTACTGAAGATAGACAGCAGTCGTGCAGCTGTGAAAATGTTTTATATACAATTTCAAATTATTAACAACTAAAGCATTACACATGAACACGTTACAGACATGGGACGCGCACCAAATACTGACATGCGGTTGAGCGAAATGCAAGAACAGAGGAAAATATCAGATGAAACGACATTTGACGGCTCCACTCCGACTGTCACGAAGACACATTCCTGCATAGGCGGTTCCGAAGGCCCAAACTGTATGACACTGGCCCGCAACATTACTCCATGGTCTAAAATAATACAATGGCTACCGTTGCTCCTACCAAAACGAATGGAAATTGTTCAGATCGCGTACAAATGTGTCAAAAAGGCAGTGATTTCACAGCAGCTCTCTGCCGCTCCTCTCTCTGTTCATCTTCTTCATTTTCATCCTCCTGTTCTGGAACCAGATCTTCACTTGTCTCTCGGTTAAACTGAGTATGCGGGCCACCTCGTAGCGTCGGTCTCTGGTCAAATACATGTTGTAGAGGAACTCCTTCTCCAGCTCCAAAGTCTGATATTTCGTGTACGGGCAGCGCTTCTTTCTCGTGGAGCGTGCGTGAATCCAGTTTGCTGCCGGGTTGCCTGAAAACAAATACAAGTCAAAAAAAAAAAAAAACACACACACACACACACACCCAAGTGATGAGGATTTTCTCCCTCAAATGAAGGTTTCGGGGAACAGGGAGGAAACGTGTTGTTTGGCAACTCCAAAAAAGCCAAAGCAGAACGTGTTTAACAATGTGTCGGTGACATGGCGCACAGACAATGCGCAAAGTAGCCAGGGCCTATACGCTGTCCAGTTATTACTGCTAGAATAAGACAGCATAACACTCCGATTTAGTCCATTTCGGGTCAAACATCAAGCACCGTGTTTCTGTTTTGGGTGTCCTGTGAAATTAAAAACAATAGGCCCGTCTGTAATAGCTAACCCGTGGGTTAGGGCGGGTATTTCCCCTTCCCGAGACGAGCTGCAGCCACCGAGACACTTTTATAGGTTAGTAAAACCTGCACTTTTACACACCCGGCTCGTACAGCCGGGTTGTAAATCTCCACCGGCCATTTCGGTTACTTACTTGGGTCAAGTTGTTGTTGCTTCTCCTCTTTCGGCTCGCTGTGAATCGAAAGTTCACTTCCACTGAGCTCCGCGGAGGCTTTCTCCTGACACTCCGACACGGCGCACGAGAATTCACCGGCGAGCGGCCGAGCCTCCGACTCCGGGGCGTCGCACCGCGCCGCCTTCGGTGGCGGGACCTCGGGCTTGCTTCCGTACGAGCGACCGCCGGAGTGGAATCCGGCAAACGAAACGTGGTTGGGGATGGGGTCCATCCACGAGCGGACGCCTACATATCTGCCGTCCGAGGCGGGGAGGTGGGACTGGTGGTGGTGGTGGTGGTGGTGGTGGTGCATGTACGGATGATAAATCCCCTGCGGGTGAACCGAGGACCAGGACGACGAGAAAACCGCGGACTTGGATGCAAAATGGCACGAGGAGAAGTCTGCGTTGTCCCCGACACTTGACGGCCTCGAGGTCACGGTGTGCGGAGCCTGGATGAAGCGAGCGCGTACGCATCCTCCGGCTCCTGCCCCATTACAGCGTCCACATAGCAGTTACTGAGAGTGCCACTGGACGACATTTTTGATCTCTTACTAGTCATATAATAAGGGTTGAACTGTTACGGGAAGCGTCCCTCTATGAACAATCATAGTATTTTTTTTTTTTGCTGGCCTGCATCTACAGGGATTGGTTACATGGATCACGTGGTCGTATTTACCAATACAGCGAGTAAATCAATCCTGCCTTACTCCCTGTTTGTGCCTGGTCATGTTTAATTTAGCTTTTCATTTCGCATATTAAAACCCACAAAAAAAAGAACTATCAAGATGTGACCCGGGGAGAAAACATCCGATCAGATGAATTCAATAGTCCGTTTTTTTTTTTTTATCTCAAGTGCAGTGGCTGCAGGACGCTACAACAAGGCAAGCAACTAAAATGAATAAAACTCGTTCATCTTAACATCATCTACAGAGTCCACACCGCGCAACCTAATGTAGGAGAAAAGTCTCCTAATATCATAGTGATACCCCCAAAAGCTTGTAAAATACTTTATAGACTTACGGAGTCCTCGTAAAATAGATGAATGTTGTAAAATAACAGAAGCCATTTCCGTTCACATTGCGGTGTATCCTTTGTTATTATTCGGCGACTTAACATTTTTCTGGGTTGGCTTGGATTTGTAAACGCTGAACCGGAAACGCCAGTTGTGAAATGATTGTATTCCCTCTAAGGATGGCAATAATGTCTTTATGCATCAATAAATGTTTTATGAGGTGCGTGTGATTATACATGCCGTCAATAAAATAAAAAAGAACAACCGGCTTCGAGAGTTCCATCTATGTGTTGCTGTCTGAAGGATGTAAGTTTATTTTTTAATTGGACGCATTTAGCCGTTTTTTTCCTAAATATTTCTTAAAATGTAAATTAAAGTTTAAGCTTCTTTAATATGTTGTATATATACTATTTTACATATAGTCAAGATGTAGGTCTGCTGACTGGATCAGACTGAATGATTGATTTGTCATTTCGTTGCCAATAATCATAAAATAGGTAAGTTATTCTGAACAATGTTAATTTGTTTGGCACAATGAAACGAAATCTGACGTGGCTACTAAGGCCTGTGTGCAGAGGGAAGGAAGAGAAACCGTACTTGGACATATCGAACCCCGCATAATGGTCGTTATAGGCTGTTAGTTTAGTCAAAACCACAAATGAGAATAAGATGTTTATTCCATTGCACGACCCGCGCCTCTTTGCGTCGCTTTGGTACAATTTGTACACCTGTGGGTTGGATCATTTTATGTTTGTTTGGTTATTTTTTGTGCTCATTCAAAAATAGTCTCCAGTTTTTGGTGTGTTCTTTGGGGAGTTGGAATGTCTAAAAAACAAGTCATAATATGTCAATTGTATCATAACTAAAAACAGCACGTGTAGCCCACAAACACAAATTTTATTTTAAGGAAGCTCGTCGTCAGCTGCAGCGAAATACTGCTGGGCTCAAATTTTATGAAACTATAAACACATTAGGAATATTTTGGAACTTTTTTGCAGTTAAGTGCAATAGGTGTTAGAAAAAGTAGTCTTGGTTATTTTCCATTCAAAGCGTTTTGAGGCAAACTGCGTCAATGCTAATAATGCTGCATGCAAGTGAGACGTTGATAATATGAACAAACACAGTAGAAGATTATTTTACAATTTATTGCAATATACATGCAGAAACATGCAATAAATTCACAGATTAACATATTTTTTTCTGCCATAGAAACAGTTCACTGTGGAGCAATGGATTGCACTTAAAAGTAAAACAAATGTCCCACGACACTACAACAAATGTGCTTTCATGGATGAAAATAAGAGTTATTTTCCAAACGCGACACAATAGAACATCCACGTCTACTGGCTAAGGGAAGGACCTCTACTTTTCCAATAACTTAAGACCAAACGTGTTACCCTGTGATGAAATAAAAACAAATGCACAACAAATTGGCTTATTTAGACACATTTCCGTTGAAATTGAAGATAAACGTCTAATGCCACCGAAGCATCAAACTGAACGTGAGACAATAAAAGAGAGCGAACCACGGACACACGCGCGCTCACGAAAAGGTGAGATTTGAGGTCAGTTCACGGATGCGGTTCTCTCTGTTCATTTTCTTCAGTTTCATCCTGCGGTTCTGAAACCAGATCTTGACCTGCCTGTCGGTCAGGTTGACGCCCCTGCTGATCTCTAGGCGGCGCTCTCGGGTCAGATACATATTGAAGAGAAACTCCTTCTCCAACTCCAAGGTCTGGTGCTTTGTGTATGGACATCTTTTCTTTCTTCCACTTTTTGCAGTTAACCAGTTGCTCGTCGGCGCGTTGCAGGCTGCAAACATTAAAATCATTGAGAGTATTCAGTGTCGCAGGGATTCAGCTTGGACTAACTCACCTGCTGCTTTGGATTTTACCTTTGGGAAATAACACACATTGTAAATGTTTTCCCAGAGTAAATAACATGCGGGGAATGTTATTAGTCACGTAAAAGACACCACTAATCAAATAGAAATTAAATGAAACCCCCAACTGATCAAACTGTACCAGAAACACAGCTTGAGATATGATCAAAAGCTATTCATTTTATCAAAGCGTCCAATGTATTAATTAGTATTTTATTACATGGTTAAAAATATGAACTTTTAATAAAATATCACTAACTACCAACTAACTAATTTTGCCAGACTATCATAACTTATGCATGCATCAATTTTAGAAGCTCCTGTGATTTTCCATTTGTGCAACAAGTATTGCAATGATTCCAGGTTCTGAAAACCGGGTCATATAACCAAATATAAGGGAAAAGAGTGAGACGTATTTTAAAAATATTCATTATTTGAATTTAAATATCTGAGACATTAGGCACACAGTAAATGCTGCATGGTAAAACTCTCTCTTTTGCCCCGTCACTGCAACCTGAGAAAGAATGTCATTAAACATTACGACTTTAGGGTTGTTTGTGTTTTATACTTGGTTTTATGATGCTGGATCCTTCTCAGCACTGCAGCGACACAAGATAAAACGCTTCCATTGTAACCGACCCACCTTTTCCTTCCTCCTGTTGCAGCTCCGGACTGGACACAGAGGCTTCCATGTTGCACTTTTTCTCCCCGGAGTTGGAGTTGGGATCCGGGCTTTCTATAGGAACCGGCGTCCTTGAGGTCTCGCGGTTCTGCGGGACGTCCTCGCCTTTCTTCTCCGCCTCTGCAAAACTGGAAGGCGCCGATGAGGGCTGCGGTTTCGGGGTGACCCTGCCGAGCTGCGTCAGTGTTTGGTTTGGACTCGGCGGCTCATGGCAGTAGCTTTCCTGATGTTTTCCATTCGCATACGTTTGACTCAATCTAAAATAGCCCGGCACCGGGATCTCGGGACCATCGACAGGACACGATTCGGAAACAACGTTAGAATATGCGGGGATTTCTGGCGGGCTGACTTTTTGTACTCTCTTATCTGAGTACATGCAGCAGTTGCTCTCTTCCTTTATGCTCTGAGAAAATGTGCAGTTTGGCATCTGGTTGGATGGCTGTATTCTGCAGGGTCTATTCGGATCAGTCCAGTTATCTATTTGAGGTATGTACGAGTGGACGTTCATGCCCATATTTTGGTGGTTGACTTCCCCTCTTTTGCCGAAAGACGGCAGGAGTCCACAGGTTTGCATTCCGTAAGTCCCCATTTCTGAGCCAGAAGGCATGTACATGTTGCTGGAGTAAAAGCTGTCCGACCTGCAAGCACCAATTAAAGAGTCCACTAAAAATGTATTTGCCGCAGGAGAGCTACTGGGAAAGGACATTTTGGGGGGTTAAGTTCTTTAGAGGAGAGAGATGTCCTTTGTAAGATGACATATCTAAGAAAAACAATCTCCGCGTAAGTCAGGATGCCTCCCGACCACATGACAAGCCCACCAATGAGATTTGAAAATGGCCTTGAGACGCAGCCTCCTCTCCCTGCGCGCACACGCATGCACCCCCCCCCACACACACACACCGTATGCCACACATACGCACACACACATACTCCAACTGCGGATGCAGACGTGGTCAACAGCGACACCTACAACACGGACTTGAAATTGGTTTTTAATCGTAACAGAAGCTGTTCAACCAAACAGAAACCATCGCTTACGAGAAAGAATATAGAGTTTCATCCCAAAACCCTCTAGCATCGTGTGGCTGTGTGACACGTGAACTCAAATAAAGATTTTCACTGACTTAAATGCTTCAGAGGATGTGCCTGTCTTTGTGTGTGGCAAATATGTGGGTGTGAATTGCTGCATGACAATCGCATAGCATCTAAAAGAATGTAACCCTCTTCACTATATTTTTTATTATCAATGATTTATACCAACAGAATCAACACATTTGCACATTTTATTCTTAAATATCGTTGAAATAAATAATAATAATAAATATTTGTTGATAATCTGTGTCAGGGTTGAGATTTGTTTTATTTTTTACATATTATTTTTTAATTTAACAGCACCACACTATTCAATGTGAATGCAAAAACCACAAAACAAATTATCTGGCAGGTCTAATATCTTTAAAACAGATATGCAAGAAGGTCAACATCATAGGCCCGTATTTATTGTAATAGAAAATTGGTCCTTGATTATTTGATAAGACTACTAAGCACAATGCATTTTTTTCAAAGGTATTTGCGATGTTCCAAATGAAACCCTGGTTAGGCACAATCAGGGGATTATTACATTTGTTGAACGTTGTGCCTATTAAACTGAAAATATCCATCGCACCAAAATTTGAAGTAAGGCCCCTAATATCAACAACCCGACAGCTCTTCTGCAAATAAACCAATGCAGCTTGAAATAATTATACAGGTTGCTCGGATCTGCCTGCAGGGTATTAACATATGGGGGTAAAAGATCCAAATCATCTCAAGATAACAGAATTCACAATAAAGGAAATAAACGGCATCAAAATAGAATCACCGAATACCCGTTCGGTCATTTTAATGGAAGAAAACCAAAATACGCAGCCTCACATACAAAACACTGGTACCATTCCTGTACTTTAAAATCATGTTTCTATTAATGCATTTTTTTTTCAAGTATAACGTTGAAAGGTTTGCATTGCACGCGCGGCACTGGAGCGTGCAATGCAAACATTGGAGAAAACTGTGCGTATAACAAATATGATACAAAATAAACACAAGTACCATAACAGCGAAAAAAAAGATTGGAAAACGTGTTATGATGCCGGTATTATTAACGATAATACTATTACGATAACAATAAAAAACATAACAAAACCAATAATAGTAAATAGTTTAAGGCAAATACCAGGAATTCTATTCATTTGTCAACTGCAACTAAAAAGTGTAGCCGGTTATCATCATTATCACGATGAATTCAGTCGTCCTTTATTGCAGTTCCTGTAATACTGAAAGCAAACCGAAAGAAGCAGATATACGATAATAAAACAATACAGCTGCAACATGGAACTGAGAAGCACATCAACAATCCCCCCAAAATGCCCAAATATCTGTAGTCTGGGACATATTCCAATGACCAGAAAAGTTCTGCTATCGCAGGTAAAGATCGAAGTCCGTCTTTAAGATGTTCAGGTGACAAAGATTCTCGAAACACTTGAACGTGACTCCTGAATGTGCCGTCTGGAAGACGAGGGAGTTGGATCAGTTAAACGGGGCACTGAGTGATAGAAATGTATATTACCATTAACGGTATTTTTTCTTCGAGAAACTGTACTGCTGAATGCTTTAATACCCCCCAAAAAGTGAATTTAGACGCTACAAATCAAATCAAAAATACTGGCCTACAATAGGTTGAACAAATGTCCGGCCACTGAATGCAGTTGGAATTAAAACTAAAATGACTTTTAAAAAAACGGCGTGGACCGGATTATTCCTCCACTGAACGATTTCCATGCAGGTTGAATGATGAATTTGGGTTGAATTCTGCGTCTCTACAATAGTCAGAGCTGCAAGTCTGCCCTCATGTGGATACACAGTGACTATCTGCACAGTTGGTAGAGTAATTTCACTGTAGGACACGACGACAACCCAATTAAACGCGTAATGAAACCCCGCATCTCTGTAGCCTTTTGGGGAAATAACCGTAGATGTGATGAACCACAAATGGCATAAACGTTAATCTCCAACTATTTTAATTTCCATCGGAGACACAGAAACAAGGGGTGCGATTGTTACTGCAAAGAGTTAAAGTGAAAATAATCACGTGAATGCTCAACAATGTGACTGCCTGTGTGGAATAAATACTCGTATGTACTCCGTCCCTTTGATTACAAAAATGTTTAAGCAGTCTGGAATAAAAGTGGAACTGAACAAAGAGAGAAACGTTTCTCTGCTGCAGCTTTAGAGCGTCAAAACTACATTTTGCGTATTGAGAATCCAAGAAAAGAAGATAAAACCTGAAATGAGTTATCCTTTTGTACGGCGGTCCTTTTTTTTTAAATATCCTTCATTTTATCGCAGCCAGAACCTTAAGAGTCAAAGGGGCTGCGGGTGAAATGGGCAGAGATCCCTTGAATGCTCCAAACATGTCGATAGCTTTGCAAAGAGCATCCGAGCTCTTGTGATCAGGGGGTCGAGACACCAAAGTCAAATAGCCCCCAATCTAGACATTTACAGCTAGGTTTATTATACTGTCTAGACGGTTCAAAGTTTAGTAAACAATCCAGTGTTTGAAAGCAGAGGAAACAACGAGACACACAGGCCTGCAAGCGCCACATTTTCCCATTGATGAATCTTGAGGAAAACCCCCCTTTGCTCGTGTTATGTTTGATGACTTGGTGAAGTTCATGTGACAAGTTGCGTTATTCACCGTTCGTCGTGACTTTATTTCACACCACAATGTGCATATACATGCGTCTTATAAATGGACATTACACAAGGAAGAAGTATATATTTGATGTGAACATGGAAAGGAAAGTTCCCACGGAAATTGCCGGGATGTGTGTTGTCGACACAACACGAAATATGTGAACACAAATAAATAAATGCAGAAAAAAGACAATATGGAATCTTCTTTGTTTTCCAAATGCGATATTTATGTTTACAAAATATGTTTGAAAAGAATGACAAAGGTTCAAATATGCCGTACCAGTCTTTTACAACATGTGTGTATAGCTCCTAAGCGTGTGTGTGTGTGTGTGTGTGTGTGTGTGTGCATAACTATGTCAGATATCAGAATAAAGGATTCCCAGTGAAATACTGTAGACGGTCGCGGTTCAGCTTTTTCTCTTTCATCCTCCTGTTCTGAAACCAAATCTTCACCTGCCGATCAGACAGGTTTAACATCCTGGACAGCTGAAGCCGCTTTTCTTTGTTAATATACACGTTGAAGAAAAACTCTCGTTCAAGTTCTCGGATCTGGTATTTGGTATAAGGACACCTCTTCTTCCTGGATTTGGTTGACGGAGCTGCACAACAGAAGAAATAAGATCAAATTTAAAAAAATGTGACCATAATACAGGTTGAAGGTTGAATTTATTTATGTAGTGATTTATTTTTGCACGAACGTTCCTCTCTGGCAAACACAAAAAAAACACACAAAATGAGAAAACAAAAGCAGTGTATTTCCTTTTAAAATGAAGTAGTGAAGTATTTACAGGACTATTTAACTCCCTAGAAATGTGTTGGAATACTTGCATACAATTACCTAATTAAACACACTTTAATAAAACGATTTCTTCCATGTATAATTTAAAATCAGTCCCAGCCACACTCAGGTACATGGCAACCTGCGTAGTTTACTTAACTCAACGGTTTCCCATTGTAAATACCTTTACAACCGTAAACTAAATCTTATAGGGATATAAAATCTTTTGCATGCTTATAAAGAGTCAAATAGCCCTAGACGGTGTCGCTGGTGCACACAATGCAGTTCAGACAGCCTATTGTTTAACCTGCGCTTCTTACATCCAAGACAAAGAGGGAAACGCTTACTCTGCTGGTTGTTGTTCGTGTCACCGCAGTTGGAGGACGAGTCCTCGTCGACGCTCCCGCTCGGGGCACCTTTGTCCTGCTCCACTTTGGTTAAAGCCTGATTGTTATTCGCAGCGTCTGTGGGAGCAGCAGAGTCTGTCTTTTGTTTGGGGGGCTCCGCGTCGTGCTTGCCCGAGTTAGGATTGTCCAAAAACTGGTCGAAGCCCTGGGGGAGAACCCCATTTCGGCCGACGCCGTTGAAGAAATTGCACGGCGAGCTCGTCCCGCCGTGGTGACCGTACAAAGACTCGTTTTTGAATAGCACGTCCGCCCTGTTGCTGGAGGACTGGATCAAGTCCCGATGCATGATCTCGTCCGTTGAGTAGTAGGACGGATAATTGCCCCTGTAGTGCCATTTGCTTGGATGGTCCAGTCCATAATCCCTGAACGCGACTTCTCGGACAGGTTGGACTTGGGCTATGTTTGGGGAATAAGGGAAATTAATCTGACACGAAGACGTCTGCGGTAAAAAGGAGGAGACTGATGTAAAATCTGGCGTCGAAACGTAATAAGTACAGCTCGGTAAATACATATTTGACGCACAGCTGCGATCGTCGTATTCCGTCATATCTCTTCTTCCCGGTTTCCTCGTTGCAGCAGAGGAGAGGAATTGGCAGCTTGGCTGTTAAACTTTGTCCATCTATAGCACCACAGGCGCGTGGAGAGACCCCGCCAGGGAGAAAAAATTGGAAACGTAGGCAGACCTGCAATACATCTTGATCGATTCTTGAGGTAATTGTGTCATGTGATCCAGCTAAGGGATTACCATACACCAATATCAGTCATTAAAAACTGACCGGAGAAACTCATGTGAGCGCATGCCAGAGACTCCATTGGCTCCCTGGCTGCAGAGGAAACTCCTCTCCAGCCTTCTTGCCCTATGGCTCTAGGAAAAATTAATCTGTGAACCAACGCCGGAATATTTAATTGAAAGCTTTACAGCTCCATCGTCATTGTGTAATGGCATGTAATAACGTTTGCACGCACTCGAGTATGCGCGGTTTTGAGCACGAAATGTGTATTTGTAGCAACAGTTAGGTGGAAAGCGTTGAAGTTCAGCCCTACGTTTAAAGCCAAGCTTGAGCGAAATAAGCACTATCGCTGCACAGTCAAATGAGAAGCCCGTGTGGTTCACAAACGACTCATTAATTCACTTTTCATGCAAATGCATTTAAGGGTTCATTAATCTCTGCGCACCACGTTGGTGGGAAGATGTTTAAATACACAACTGGAATTTATTTGAAATCAGATGCAATGGTCCTGACCTGCAGCATCATGCAAGCAGGTACCACAAAATAAAAAACAACAAGACCACAAAATGACCGCTTTTACACCTTATTTTACATTCCATGGCGAGGAAAGCCAACAAGCGCATGTGTGACTCAACACTGAATTCTGTATTGTGAAAACGTATACTTCATTTGTTACAGTTTATTAATAAAGGTGGATGAACGAGCGCAAAGGCAGCCTAAACGTCCCCCAGTGTATGCCCCTGCAAATTCTGATTGCGGATGCCACATACTAAACACAAAATATACCACATAAACTACGGTGGCGTGACTCACTGAGCACATTCAGCATGGCCAAGTCCAAAACAACTGTCTCTGACCGTCTGTGGTCTAGGTGATGTCTACCAGGCACCAAGCCCCTTCTCTTAAATCTTTTTATTGCACGACGGCGGCCATGTCTGCAGAGTTTAGGCCCTTCTTCACAGCGGAGATCAACGCTGGTTAAGGTACGTCTTCAGGCAATATTTTTCATTTTTCTCATGTGAGTATCATTTTTATTCTCGCTGTCTTTTCTATTGTTATTTCTAGTAAAACAAACAATCGAAAAGGGAAGAAAATATTTAAGACAATCAAGCCCTTGTTGGAGGCCCAATGCTGGACACATAACGCCTATGTAAATTGTGCCAGTCGAGTAGAAACGCAGCTCCCCTCAAGACCTGTTTTGTAGTCAGAGGACAATTATTGCTCAGGACTTTAAGCCTGAAGGTCACGCACAATGTGGAAATAGCTCAAAGGCGGCTGGGTTTATTGTTATTGGGGGTAAATTGAGCCTTGCGGTCCGGTGTTCTTGTTTCAACCTTTACCACACTTCACGTTGAACCCCTTTAGGCAGTCAACGCCATGCAAGCAAACAGAGTTTGTAATTATTCAAAACAGAACAGAAACAAAATGTTCTGTTTTTCTCAAAACAGAAAATCGAAAATTTGGAACATAAACTAATGAATCAATATAGTTTTAAGATTGCAAAAAGAACATCCGTCATCATCAACAATCAACAGTGCTATATGTGCACAATTGTAAGACTATAGTTTTCCAAAAAAAGTTACATAGACAGACATCGAGACACTTAGTTGTTTAAATTACCGTTTGCTTTGAAACATTTTAAGTATTTTTGTTTTTTTATTTATTTAAGTATTATTATTAATATAATATTGTTAGTGTTTCTCATATATTCACTTCAACATTTCTTCAAAGATACAATTAAAGGTTTTTGTTGAAAAAACAACCACCATTTGGTACCGGAGGCTACTTCAAAAATGGCCATATTTAGTTCAACCAATCCCTACTCCTACATTATTAGAATTAGCTTTGTGCTAGCATTGTGTGTGCAGCCTAAATTACTAACTTGACCTTAACCTGGTGGTGGTGCACCCACTATTTGATGTTGGTATGATGCTCTCTCGCTGCATTTGCCCCCGATACTAAAGGAAAACGGTCAACGTAGCAAAATAGTTTGAGCAATGGAGACCAATAGTGAGTGAAACATGTGGCGGAAAGATTTAATCTGGGAAAAAACCTTAAACTTCAGTCATGACAAAAGGCCCGAGTGCGCAAAATAATACGTCGATGATAGCGAGACACAATGACCAGCGCATATATATATAAACTAAAGGACCACAATTTATAAAATGTTATCTCTAACAGTCATTGCAGAACTAAGAATCTCTTTGGGACTTTCATCAGCCTCTGATTCGACTGCATCTGAACTCTGATGCAGTGATGCAGTGACGGTGACGTGATCGTTATGCGATAGTAATGGGAGGGTCTATTATTAGATTCACTATCATGGTTCACGGGCTGGTAACGATTTGATTGTTGCCTTTAAACCCAGTCAGACCACCTGTAGGCTTCAACGTTGTTACAATGGGAAACTACAATAGGTACGTTACAACTAATGAGCCAGCTTGATGTGCACATACATCTCACTCACACACATCCAGGAGCCTGTTTTAGTAATGCATAAAGTGCAGAGAAAGTAAAGGGTGCATATCTGCTCTTTGAATTACACAAGATCCATTCCCACATATCCTCCCTCTGTCACGTGGAGAGGTGCGTGTGTCTGTGCGCGCGCCCGCGCGTGTGTTTGTGTGTGTGTGTGTGTGCGCGCGTGCGTGAGCCCGTGTTGTTTTGTTTCTTTTATTTTTGAAGGAGCATTAACCAACATGATGTAAATGCAGCACATGTGTCCGTACAGGTTGATTCGGGTAAAGCGTCTGCGATGAATGAATAGAATAGATGAATTCTAACGTTTCTATCACCCAGCGTGATGTGCACAAAAGTCTCACCCACATATTCACCAGCTCGTTTTAGTCATGCATAGCAGACGCTTTACCCTGCCAGAATTAACCTGTATGGACAAAAACACCAAAGAATGTGACTAAAATGAAGTAAATTACCGCTATGTGAGTAAATAAATACTATTTAGGACGATCTAGCATAGTATTTGCAGTTGGAAATTCAGTTTTACTGGCTGTGGAAATATTGCATGTAATATATTCCCTTTAGAATAAGTAAAGATATATTTAAAGTGGGGATTACTGAAGGCGTGTAGGATGGTTTCGAGATAATAAATTGTCCTTGCATGGCTTAAATTAAACGAATACTCCCGTTCATGCATCTCCTATAAAGTGAGGCGTATTCCGTTTATTGAAAGTGAAAGGTTACAGAACACGCACAGCCAAAAAAAACAACGAGCTCGAGGTCTCCAAAGTAAATCCTTTCGACTGCTTTTTTTTCTTTCAAATCAGCCAAAGAGAAAGAGGAGCGGATTAATGCACATTTAGATTACAGCCAAATATAATGACAGGTCCTGAATGAACGTCAACACGAGGATCGATGAACGTAAAGGATATGCCATTCCATTCAAACAAAAACCATTCACAAGATACAACTTGTTTTGGGCTGATTTAAAAAGCATCTTTATTTACAAATATATTCATCTTTAATCACGTCCATTTTACAAAACATTTGTCCGTGCATGCGTAAAATGATGGATGCTCAAATTCTTACAAATAACGCGTTTTATTTCACGGTCTATTCCATCCGACAGAATTAGAGCAAAGGGGAAGGATCTGAAATTCTGTCCGGATAGCAACACAAAACCAGGTCTGACAACAAAAATCCACGATTATATTGGATTAGATGTTTCTTTTGCACTGGAAGTAAACACGTTCGCACAGAATGAACTGATTGAATGTTTACACCGCCATATAGAACAACACAAGTTCACTTTTTTCTCATTCAGTTTACATTCAAGAGAATAACTGAATTCAATTTAAGAATAATTAGGAAATAGACATGCAATAATAACATATTTCGTAATACTGACTTGTTAATCTTTTATCTGTCCGTAAACGTAAACATGAACTTGACTGTTTGCTTCCACAATGGGCCCGAACCGCATGAACAGGAAATTACACAAAATACACAAACAGGCAGACCAATATACTTGTTCAGATATTCAAAAAGTTCAGTTTTCATATCATTTTGAGCTTGATGATAAATAATGTATAAAGGTGTATCATGGGCCGCTGTTAAAAGCCAATCAGGAGCCAGAACCTATTGCGGATTTGGGGAATCTTTTTACCAAAGACCAATTGGGAAGGATCATGTCTCTCCGCCACGCACCACGTCTTTTACTATCATTGCATATAATGGCACCATATAGCTCGACACAAATGTAATGCTTTTTTTACATATCTATAAATACGGGTCCATGGCACAAACCAAAAGGTGTGTGTCCAGAGCATGTGACGTGCTGCACATCAAGAGTGCGACTCGAATTCTTTGTCACGATCAAGTCCAAGGGGGCATCAGTATGCGGAGAAAACATGCTCGCGCATCATCATTCGTTTCTTCTTCATCCTCCGGTTCTGAAACCATATTTTCACTTGTTGGTCACTCAGGTCCAGTCTTTCTGACAAATCCTTGCGTTTTTGTCTGTTGATGAATTCGTTCATCATGAATTCATTCTCAAGTTCAGCCAGCTGTAGCTTCGTGTAAGGTTTTCTCTTCTTTCTGGTTTTCACCTGCGACGAGCACCACGGCGCAGCTGCAGAGGTAGAAACACGTTTTACACTTCAAATTAAACCTCAGCCCAGGAGCAGCGATGTGGACTGAGGGGATTTAATGGCAACGCTCAATGTTGCTCAGCAATAATAATAAAAAACATTTTAGGTTTCAGAGTAATTCAATATGGTTACTAATATCTTAAATTCGGATAATGCAGCCTAGTGGATATTCGAAAAATGACTACATGGGGTATACAATGACCACACAATGCACTAAATAATGCAAAACACCAAGTATTTTATAGCAATAAACGACAGGGGATCCGAGAATTTCGCGTCGATATGAGACAACGACGTAAAGCCACGATTGGATCACAATGAAACGGAACCGGAGTTCTGTGCAAGATTTATACTTAACCTTCTGCAAAAGTCGTCCTCGAGCATGTGTGACTAGATGATGGGTGAGGGGGATTCTGCTCCTGTTTGGTGTCGTTCACGGACAACGGATCCGCTGAATCCCGATCGAGGCGGGCCGCGGAACCGTGAGACCGACTGTCCGGGTCCGAGAAGCCGCGGTCACCGGCGGCCCCGGGCTGCCCCGAGTAAAACTCATCCCGCCTGGCAGACTCCTCTGTCTTATGGTTTGTGACCTGGAAGCATCTGGCCGACTGATCCAGATGCGCCTTGGCGTGGCCGCTGGAAGAGTTAGTATTTATAGACACCGAGTTGGAAAGAAACGGAGGACAGTAGCCTCCAAAGGCGCGACTCTGAGGTGGTGCCGTCGGTCCAGACGTGCACGCACTTGAAGAAGCCCATGGGAGCGTGCACACGTCTCTCCTATTGTAGGGGAGCTGGTGCAGCCCGGGTATGTGTGCTCCATTACCCCGCAAGTTGGAGAAATACAGCGACTCAGAGGAGGTAAAATTCAAAAGAGAACCAACATAGCCGGGATTTAAAGGATTCCGCTCACACATTTCCATGGAGCTTTTCTCAAACGCTTCTCGCAAGGCTCTTAGCAACTCCTGAAGAATAAAGGGTAGGTAATTGTTGATTTGTTAATACGACGTCACGTGATATGCAAAATATGTTGTTCCGCCCCACCCTTGCTCCCAGAACTGCAAAGCAAAAATACACCATGAGGACACATTTTGTGAATTGAGTGGGTGGGGTGTGAAGTTCAATTCAAACCATATTTCGTCGAGAACAATACAGTATGTTGGACGTATGGCAAATAGTGTTTAGGGCTTTTATTTCAAGGGCACATACGCAGAATCTCTTTCGACATCATTGTGCTGACATTAGACTAACCCATGTGGTACAACGGTAAATGCAGGATCTTAAATGCACCACATGAGAATATGCACAATTGCACACCCAGGATTTATGAGATGTATTTCCAGTTATAAATTATTAGAATAAACTTTTCTTGGATCGACCAAACACATCAAAACAGACGAAATATACTCATTCCCCCATGCAAATTCAAACTGTGCAGCCGATTATTATGTTGGAAACAGTAGAGATTGCAGCCTTATATGATGTTTTTGTGGTAACTCCCTTGTGAACAATGTCGCATTCATTCCAGCGAGTTGTATCGCCTGAAAACAACGTTTGTAACATCAGGAAATACATATCCGCATTTTGAAAATTCCCTACGGCCTCAAAAGAAACTCAAAATGTGTTTAAGACATTTCCGTTTACCATCAGATGTTTCTGTCTACCTCTTGTTTTCATATTCTAAACCGAATAGCTCCGCCCTGCTGCACAATTATGAGGTGAAGCCCAACGTAAAACCCTGAAAATAAACTGCCAAAATGATAATATTTCTTGCAAAAACTAAACTAAAACCAAACAATTCAATATCAAATACTTACATTACATACATACATTTAGCAAGTCCATTCAAGCTGTATCAAAGATTTACTGATTCCACTATGTCTGCTCCTCCTATGGAAACTTGTATCACAGTAAACGGGTTTAAAATCACCACTCTTATTTCTATTAAACTCACATTATGGGCATCTATGGGAAGCAAACACTACTGCCAGGCGTCACATTAGATATTTGTTCTGCAGTATGTCCTTTTTTCACAGACTAGAGTGTTAACATTACGTGTATGTCTGTATGAGTGTGTGCTCATTGTGTGTGTGTGTGTGTGTGTGTGTGTTTATGGTGGGGAGCTCAAAAATACACCGTCACTGAAGACTTGAAACTGTTGCATTTCCAATACAAAGGGTCCCCTAGTTGTGAAAAAACCCCTCTGGTTATTGACTTGATCACAAGTTGCTCACTCCAGACACAATAAAGTAATTATACCATAAAAGACACATCTGAGGTTTGAATTCCCCACAACTCCACTCTGTATTGTCAAACTGGATAATCATAGCTGTTCCACTCCAAAGATATTTAACTGAGACTGAGAATATAACGAGTTTAATCCATTAGGTGACCGTAAGTAATCATTTAAGTAGTTACGGAGAAAATCCAACAGGTGGCAGTACAAGTCTTTATCCTTTATCCTGCCACGCCGTCTTTGCTCTTTTCATTATTCGTCAGTTGCGTGATTCTGCAAATAAACCTGAGCAGTTTGAGTCATCACTGGAGATACAGATGGGACCACTCACATGCATGCGGTGTGTTTCTTTAACAACGTCAGCAGTCGAGGTAGGACAAGTGAAACACACGTTTACTTGTCGCAAATTGTTGTTTCCAGTTGTGTAAATTAATGTTCTACTGGGTTTAAACGAAATAAAGAAAGTGTAAAGCAGCTATTAAAATATGTGAAGAAGCGACGCTTAAGCATGAAAAAAAGAACTAAGAATTTTGTGGAAGAACAATAAACAATAACAATGCAACAGAAATACATGTTAATAAAGACACACAACTAACTATTTCTAGAACGAATATATATAAATATCATTTCTATTTATCTATTTATTGAATACATCTTTAAGCTCTATTCAAAGGGGTCGGCGAGTTGTGCTTCTCGGCCTAAATGTAAATGTAAAACTGGTCCGAATTGAATTTGCACTCATAGAGGAATAAAAGTATAATTTGAATTACATTTAAATGAAATTATATTTATCACACAAGAAAAAAAGTTGACAAACTAATATCAAATGAAGGAAAATGAATAAACTCAATCGTTACACCTTCAACTCGGGTGCATCTCTTGGGCTTTCATTTGTTCCGTTTTGCTTTGCTGCGCATTCCGCTCAAAACGTTCTTGTGCATGTTCTCACGAACTGTACGTTGGATTTCTCTTTAAAACATTCGTAATCCATGAGCAAGTATTTGGGACATTCGGGGTAAAGGTTTTGCTGAAGTTAGGCCACAAAGGAAGATCTAGGAGGAGGTTTAGTGTTTAGTCTGAGGCTCGTTTACGGCCTTCATGTTTAGGGTGTCAGGAGCCACATTGAGGAGCTCAGTCTGGTTTCTTTCCACTTCCCTTGAAGGAAGCTGCCCGTCGTCTATTGTCCTTGGTAATAAACTTGCTGCTTCCCTCGTTCAAGTTCTCTGGCCTGAGAAAAGCTGCCTTGAATCTTAAAGCTGTAATATCAAGTCCCTGGGAGGCAAAGCGAGTTTGGAGTTTAATTCCATGTGATAATTGACTGGGAAGTTTAGATGAACAGGTAACAACAAGAAAATGAGTTATTTTAAAGAAGTAAAAAAAAAAAAAAGATTTACTAATTAAGTCTATAAGCTTCAGACCTCAGAGGATTTACAGCACAGGTTCACGCATGTGGAATATTTTCATCTGAAGCTGTGCATGTTATATATTTTGTTGTGTTATGTAATGGTTTAGCATTTATTCGAAATTGGAAACGGGAAGTTTGTTTAGCGGAGGATGCAGAAAGTTGTGGAACTGTTTACAGAATCAATTTGCTCAAATAAGAATAAACATCTGGGGATGAGAATTTAGGAGAAATGTGAACAAATATCATATCAAATCCAGTTTCACACCGGATACATTAGTTTACTCAACTTTAAAATAAAAAATCTGAGAGGATATTTCGGACACAAGGAAAAACTTGTGTAACAGTAAAGCATTTTTTAAGTTGTGTTCGCACCAACGGGCCCACAATCAAACACATTATCACCGAGGTCACGTTTAGAAATAACCCCAATTAACAATACAACAATGTACTTTAAAATGTTCTCTTTATCTACCAATAAAAGAGTGAAAAACATGAATACTATTTACTTACTTACTATTCGTGATATCTGTATTTGTATCACTTTAAAACGTGCTGCTGAATAACCAAAGGCCGGTAGTTTCTGACTGAGAATTCATTCGCGTTATTGCTGATAATGCATCAAACTGACTAGTACACAGATTCGTGCTGAGCCAACCATTACTGTCTATAAAAATCACTGCCCTTTTTATGTGGCGTCTTTGTCCTTTTAGTTTCTTGAAGACCAAAGAAAGCAGAAAGTTGACCGAGATAACGAGAATGAGATAAAGACACAAAAACAAGAGTGATTGTTTAAAGTTGTTTAAAGTTTACCTATTTTCTGTCGTGAAAAAACATGTTTTATTTATACTGTGTAATATGTGTATATTGAGTGAACAGCATTTGTCATGATGGCGTTCAATCCTCGCGTTAACTGACGTCTCTGCGTTGCCTCGGGGATGTAAAACAGTCGGTAAATAAACGTGTTTCATCGATCACAATCCTGAACAGAAGAAAATCTATTCAAGGCGTTCCAGTGCTTTACATAATTTTAAGTCTTATAGTTTATGGCTGGTACCTATTTTTTGTTATGAACTGCTGTTTGGTTCGTTTGCGTTCACAACAGGTCGCCTCTAGATGGCGCTCTGACTCAAGGAAAGAACTCGGCAAAGGCACGTGACACACATGAAACACTGCAGCAGCTTCATTCAGCGTTTGGTCATTGAGTTTGGCTCAGGCGAAAACAAAAGCTTCAGTATCCCTTATTACGAAAAATTAGAAACAGGGTGTCAATTAGTTTGTTTCTGGACAAATTTATTCCTCTTTTTATCAGAATGACATTCTCAAACACGGTTCTTGGGGAATCAGGACTAAAATGTTTCGATGCTACGATGTGTTCTCTCCTCAACAACGTGTCCACAAGCACACAACTCCCCATTTTTATCATAATTGTACATTATGTTATGCATCCTGTAATTAGTGTGATCTCGACGCATGACAAAGTGCTGAATAAGGAAAAGTTTGTATGATCACAACATTTCAAAATAAGATATAAGAAGAAAATCTTTTTTCACCTCAACAAGACTCATTAAATATGAAGAGATTAAACGATTAACATCGCTGGAACCTGCTTTTAGGGGCAGGCAACCTGATTCTTCATGTATCACATAACACCTCAAGTGATAATTAAGAGTAAGTGTCAGTATCATCAAGTGTCAGTTATGTCATATACTGTGTATATGTTGTGTGATTCATTCTTTATCGTCTGACAGTTATTGAAGGGGTAAATTCCACTTTGATAAGTCCTATCTAATCTACACGTTAATGGGGTTGTCTGGCATACCAACCCCCAAACGCCGGGGAAAAAGCACTCACGCATTTTTATTCCTGTAATCTAATAAAAACGGTTTGTTTGCCAGTTGTGGGGTCATCAGATCAAGTGGGAGTCTCCCTGACATCGCCTTGGCGCGCGCCCCTCCACACCACAGCACCCCGCCCCCCACCACATCTCCCCAATTCTTTCCATGGGTCCAAGACTTAGAAGGCAATGAAATGGATTACACTGACCAAAGTATGTTTTAGACATTTTATTCACACCCTAAATGACCATACCAACTTGTGGTAAAAGGGAATTTGGCTCCTTTGATGGCCGAGGACTCATATTTGCACGAATGGTTGCACTCTGATTTGTACAGCCTGGTCGGAGTAATTTCCACTATGATGCTAAAATGAGGTCAGGTTCAAGACATCATTGCATTAAAACTGCTTTTACATAAACTGAAGAATGCAAAACAATTCTTGTCACCCTGTGATGGATTTCTGCAGCAAGTTCTACGGCGGCCAGTGGTTTGATAAATGGAGACTTTTATTTTTTCTAAAAACACAAAGAATTGCTTGATGATCAGAAGTATAAGTGTGTGGGATTTAATAAATATGACAACATTTTACAATGGCAATGACTGCCAATTACATATCCCTTCTCAGAATAGACATAGTGGACAATGCAGCATTTGAACATTCTCATCCATGTTCAAGCTGTCTTGAACTCATCATTCAATTATCAGCAAGTTTCTTTTATGAACATCATTCAGCAGATTAAGTGGTTGTTTTGCTACCCCAAAGATATCTCATGGGCTGCATGGGGCTGATGAGAAGTCTTCAGATAGTTCAATTTCCAAGGGCGTAAATTCACCCAGCCAATGTGTGCCTTAAGATTCAGTTCCACTAATGACCACTAGGCCGAACACTGACTGCATGGAGAGGCTGGGAAATCTGCCCACTAATGTCCTTCTAATAGGTTTTCATCAAAGATGAGATTTTGACATGTCACAGTAAACAAAGCAAGGGTGATAATACAAATTAATGATGGCTGAATCCCATTTAGTTCAGTTTCAACATGCTTACTGGGACACTCAAATTAAACCTTTTTGTTAATTTGGGTTTTGTTGCTTAATTAGTGTGCTGTTATTATTATATAATTGTATTTTATGCTTTCTCTTTTAGGAAAGCTGGTTTTGTTGCTGTCCTTGCAAATTCAGCTGGGTTAAGAACATTGTCCCAAAAGACTGCAGTTAAACATCAGCCTGGTGGGTAACAGTCACTTATGGAAATGCTAATTGATGCGCATTATCATATTGAATCAATAAATTAAGTTAATATTCCATCCTCTTTGGTTTACTTCCTTGTGGGATTTAGCCAACTTTACAGATGAACACATGGCTTGTGTGTTTAATTATTAAAAACGTCCTTCAAGAACACTTTGTATAAATAGGACAGTGTGGATTTTCAGTTAGAGTTAATCATTAGCGGTCAATACACAACTTTCAGGACAACCACATTTTTTTCGTGGCAGATTAACAAATTGCAATTTTATCACCAATTGTATTTCTTTCAATCTGAATTCACATGGTTTTGATTTCATTTTTACGCAGTATAGTTTTTTTGGGTGAAAATCTGAATATTGGCAACCCTGTGATGTCTGCACGAAACAAAACCATTCACACTAAAACTGTAGATTCGTATCAAAAATGTTCGATTTAAGGATCTATTCAGTTGTGGTTCATTCATCTGAAGGGCCAACGAAACATGCACGTGTGCTATGAAGCTTAAAGCATTAGATTCCTCAACAACATAACTTAAGGTTAAGAGAAAATCGCTTTATGACACAATTCAGAAGTGCCTGCACTGTAAATATATCTTCAGGTAAAAAGATCCGTCAGCTGCACAACGTGGATGCTAATGACCTCATTATATTAAATGTAAATTAAGCTCTTAGGGGAATCCCCAAAAAATGTCTGAATTTAGTATGCATTTCTTTCAATAAAATATTAAAGAAAATATTTTGTTCACTAATGAAGCAATGGGTTTATTTCACTAATGTATTAACTCGTATTATCCTGAAGATTCAAATATTGTTTTACATGAAGGAATAAATCAGTGGACATATTATTTTTAAATTATGCACAAGCTGTAACTGGTTCTTATCCTCAAAGATTTCTCAACACCGTGTCGTGTTTTCTGCCATTATGGTAACAGGGAGACAGATGTTGATCTGAATTGAATCCTATTCTTACCGTACTATAAAAATAAGACACAACGTGTGAGAGTAGCAGTGCTGGTCTGTGGCTCTTTGCAGCTTACAGCTCTTTGAAAGCTTTATATGATTTATAAATCCCCTTTTACACTAACATTGCTGTGCTCACAAGACAAGTCAGGACGTCAGCTACATTCATAGACTGCAAATTATAAACTAGCACAAGCCTCAGTCAACCCCAATTCATAAAGCAATTATGGTCAAAGCCTGCAGGAGGCGCCAGAGGACGCTCAGAGGGTGATTGGTGGATTCACTCATCACAGGGAGAACTGTAGTACATGCAGGGATGCTATGTCTTTACACATCCAGTCTACAGTGTTAATATGATGCATACATGTAACAGCTATGTTCCTGTAAATGCACAGACTACTATGCACAACAAAGGGTTTGACTGGGAGTAAATTACTTCAAACTGATACGAAATTCTATTAAGAAACGTAAAATATGAAGTACGCGCGTTTGAATCTGATGAATGGTTTAAATTCAACATCATAGGGAATGGAAATGGAAACAAACAAAATGTGAATAATGACCTGTAACGAAGTGTAATTTAGAATAACAGCAACTAATGATTGCTAAATGACTTAAAACAAAAGATTAGACGTGTATGAGCCAGCTACAACAAATAAGATGCATAGTACATATACGTGCGTGCTGTGCTAATGCAACCATTATCACCACATCAAAATGTGTCTTTGACGAACTGTGTGAAAAAAACAAAAGAGAACAAATATGAAAGGTGCAAAAAAAAAATTCTGTCTTAAAAGATTTAAAATATAATACTTGATCATCTTCATCACTCACGTGTATGTGAATCATAATGTACTTCGCATTCGGATTAAAGTGGCAAAAATTGTAAAAACGAAAAATGCATAAAAATTAAAGGGAATAAATAAAAGAAACAACGATCGAAGAGGGGGAGGGAGGGGGAGAAGAGGAAAACAATAGAGTATCAAAGCATAATAATATTCCTAAATGAAGAGGGAAATGTTGCACCGCTCATTTTATTAATCAGACTGTCAATTTCACCCAAGAGGCCAAACCCCAGAGCAATCTAAAACAGACTCAGAGATGAACCCAGGGACGTGCACCTCGCTCCTCACTCCTCTCTTCCTCTCCACTTGGATATTATTCGTCTGACCGAAGGCCGCCTCCATCATCAAGTGACAGCCCTCTCCTATTTATTTGCTTATAAACCTGTTACAATAAATGATCATTGGAGCAGCGTCAGCCGAGCATTTTAACAACGACCAGCAGCCACTTTTGATGAATGACATTTGGCTGCTGTGAGGGAGGATGCACGGCTCGTTTTAAGCAGTCGCTCGTCGATTGCGTTTAGATTCTTTCGTTTTTTTGCGTCTTGCTTATAAAAAGGTTTAGGGACAGTTATTGAGAGACAGTTGCCGAGTTGCATGCGGATTTAAGCTCCGACACAACTCATTGGTGCTCCAGCCCCCCTTGGACAAGTGTTGTTCCTCTTTTCTTTTTTTTTCTTTTTTTTCCCGTCTTGCACTGCTTAATGATGGAGAGGATAAGGAAAGAGATGATATTGATGGAGAGAGGTCTGCACAGTCCTGTTGCAGCTAAGAGGCTCGCAGACACGCCTGGAAATTCAGTGCTGGAGGCCCTGGAAAACTCTCAGCACAGCGGACGGTTGAGCCCCAGAATAACTTCGGCTTCGCTCCATGGAAATCTTGGGGACATCCCGACAAAAGGCAAATTTGAAATTGACAGTCTTTTCGGTTCTCACCACAACAGCGAAAATACCTCTTCGACGGAAATTTCTTCGTCAGAAAGCAGGAAGAAAATGAGCCTTTACTCCGAAGTTTCGCCAGATTCAGATATTAACAGCGATGTTGAGGTGGGATGCCCTTCGCATCGATCCCCGAGCCAGCACAAGGAAAACAACAAAGGTAACCTAATATTAGATTTTTCATTATTTATCATTTTTCCATTATTTCTGCAGTTGTATTTTTGTTTTAACATAACGGCTGTTAGCCGAAGCCCATATTCTCTCTCCCCAAAAAACAAAACAAAGATAAATTGAATGATTATTAAGCCTGTCATTTGTAGAATTGTATATTATTATAATGATTATTAGGTTTTTATGTTTAAAGGACAAAATAAGTGTATTGTAATATTTTGTAAATTATTTTGCACTTGACCATCGACACACATTTTTCATCAACATTACGGTTTAAAAAATAAATGGTAAAACACATCCTGCTACAATCCATAAACATTCATTATTTCAGCATTATCTATAACAATAGGCTTAAGAAATTGCCTCCATTTTTTATAGGATTTTCAGATTCTGGATCTTCCAACATAAGCTCGAACTCCCTCCAGAATATGAACGGTAATTCATCGGGAGGATCGAACAATTCAAATAGCGACCAAGTGAGAAGATATCGGACTGCTTTCACCCGAGAACAGATCGGCAGACTGGAAAAAGAGTTTTACCGGGAAAATTACGTTTCGAGACCAAGAAGATGTGAATTAGCCGCAGCGCTGAATCTGCCCGAGACTACAATTAAGGTACAGATGAATCTTCCTTATTCTTGTGTGTTTGTGCAAAGAAAGTCATGCTGTGATAATGAAGAAAAATATAAAATATTATCATTATTTCTGCTCATAAAATGCCGCAGAGTAATCTTCACATTTAGAACAAAATAACACTTTTATTTACTAGTCACCCACGGGTGCTAATCAATTCTACCGCTATAAGCGTAAGTGTATGACCTAATTGAAATATTTCTATCCCAAACAAAATTATTTTAACGGTTATTTATTTTGTAGATTTGAACTGATTTTGCATGGGTACATTGCTCTTTTTCATTTTGAACGACGGGAGTATTTATTGCACATTCAGTATTCATTCAGTATGCTCATCAGAGGTCCAAATTAAGTGCCGGTGAAACGACATGGCAGCTTCAATGCGTGTCTTGTTTTGACTCCCGTGTGCAGGTGTGGTTCCAGAACAGGCGGATGAAGGATAAAAGGCAGCGCCTGGCGATGTCCTGGCCCCATCCGGCCGACCCCAGCTTCTACACCTACATGATGACGCACGCGGCAGCTACAGGAAGCCTACCATACCCTTTCCACTCGCACATGCCTCTCCACTACTACCCGCACGTCGGCGTCACGGCAGCGGCGGCCGCCGCCGCCGCCGCCTCCGGTGCCGCCTCCTCGCCTTTCGCCACTTCCATCCGGCCCCTCGACACCTTCCGGGCGCTCTCGCATCCGTACTCGCGGCCGGAGCTCCTGTGCAGCTTCAGGCACCCGGGACTCTACCAGTCACCCGCCGGCCTGAATAGTTCGGCCGCGGCGTCGGCGGCTGCGGCCGCGGCCGCTGCGGCGGCGGCCAGCGCGCCGTCGGCGGCCGGGCCCTGCTCGTGTCTGAGCTGCCACAGCAGCCAGGCGGCGAGCGCGCTCGGCTCCAGGAGCGCGAGCGCGGACTTTACCTGCACGGCTTCCGGGCAAAGATCCGAGAGTGGATTTCTGCCGTATTCCGCCGCGGTGCTCAGCAAGACGTCAGTCCCGTCACCGGACCCACGAGAAGAAACCTCACTGAACAGATAACTCAGTCACGTAGGCCCGAAACGACCGTTTCGTATTGTTTTCAAAATCGCACTTGTGTAGAGAATTCGCCAGCATTGTAAACAGAACACACACGTTTCGATTCATTTCTACAAGTCTGTTCAAGTCCGAATAGAATTTATGAGGAAAAACACATGAAAAGTGTCGCAACGAAAATTCACAGACAACCTTTTATAAAAGCTAGTGCTCTTGTGTTGTGATAGTAGAGCATTTTTTTATGCTGGATTAATTTATACATATTTGGAAAAATAACAAACCATGCAATTCAGTCCCATGCCTCAATCAGTGTGCCCTTTTATGTATTTAGGATATTCATTTCTAGAAGCTGAGACAAAATCTTGGGCCTATTTCTGCGGCTCAGGGGCTAATATTTGTAGACAACACATCTGTTTTTAACATTCAAACGTAGGCTAATTATGCTTACTATATTTAGATGGCCCTCCTCTGCCCAGCAGGATATCTTTCTTACAGCCCTAATGGACTGAGCTTTTCTTTTGTTGGCAGGGACAGCCTCTCCACTGTGGGGACCCCCTTAATCAGCTAGAAGGGCGCATATCATTTTTTGCACCGCGTCTTCCGTGTCAACTTTTATGCTAATAATGGGAGGATCATGACAAAAATTGCCAATCATGTACCTAGACGGAGCCCCTTTGAATACACGACTGCAAGAAAGTTCCTCGTTTTGAGACCCGTTGCCAAGTGCTAACAACCCGCGCAGGGAAGTCATTAGACATACAAAATACCCGGAACCAAGCGACAGTCCTCGTGCACAGATGCACTGAATAAAGTGTGTTATGTTACACGTGCACGGTTTGAAGATATGACAAAGCAGCCTGTAAAGAGACCACTCGGAATTAGTTTGGTGAGGATAAGAGATTCCTCGACACACAGTAGAATCTCCTTTATTGACATTGGGGCACCTCATTACATCAAATCCAGCAGTGTAATCCCTTTAGGACCTCTTCACTCAGTACACAGTGACGGGACTGAGCAAGGCGAAAGTTTAGACTAAATGGTCTGCGTCTGTAAAAATGGCTATGTGCTATTTTATTCGTTCCTGTTGGGAAATCACCTATATGTTAATTATAAAACATGTGAACTGTAAATCGTGAAATATTTTGCAAATATCATGAATAGTCCTACTGATAGTTGAAAACTGAATTATTGATCACCCCGGAAAATGCTTCATGAGATGTAGGCTTGTTTTTTTTGGGGGGGGGGTTGAACACATTTTTTATTCTTTATTTTGCGTGACTTTGCTGAATGTTTTTCAATGTTTAAACACTGGATGTACAAGCCAACACGAGCATCGCATAGGCTACAAATTGGCCTGTAAACTCACCAATGTTCCAAATGTATGATCTGTTAGCTATTTCGGGCGAAAAAGTAGGACTGAATCACGGAGAGCATTTCTTTACGGTCCACTCAAAAGAGGCTTCAAAGGGCTGATAAACGAGCACTGATATTAAAATGATGAAAATAGTATTGGCACTTTCCCTGGGGTCTCTGTTATAACTCTATATCACTGTATTTAAAATATCAATGACTGTATGAATTTAAATATTTTAACTTGAAAAAAATTGTGCAATATGAAATGTAAATCCTGTTATTTATTGATCGTGTTTGTTCTTGGAAAATAAATGAAAAAAAATGTTTAAATATATTCTCTTCTTTAAAAATACATTGATTTCGTTGATCTAGGTTAACACATTTCAATCTAGTTGAATCGCTTCAAGAAAGGTAACACTACTGAGAAAATTAATTTTTGAATGTTGAATTACACATTTTAAAACATTCAACTGCGACAATGAATACATGTTAGGCGTATTGGGGTGCTGTGACACCATTTCTATGGCAAACAATGTAAAGCATTAATTAGAAATACGTGGATAGGGAATATGAGGCCTGCCATCACGGGTCATTCCGGTCCTATAATTTACCATTATTTTTACATTATCTCTAAATGATACAAGCTGATACTGTCGTTAATTGCACGTGGTTAAAATATAGCCCACACCAGAATGTCCCCGGGGGACTTTAAGACAAGTTGCTTTTTTGAACGTCCCCATTAAAGAAATAGGATTAGGGCAGCAAATATGGGCGTGATGTATCACCATGTTTCATTGCTCTTTACTATGGCGAGGGTTGCAACCCATACAACAAAAGCATTGAGATGGATGGAAGTGTAGAAAGGAAAAGACAGAGGCCAGAAAAACACTGCCCACAATAACACGATTAGTTTTGTATCCAATGTGCAAGAATGAAAAAAGAATTCATCATAATGCAGAGGACTGTCTGTCACCTTTGCGGAATGGTTTTTGACAAGAAAATAAATCTTTGGGTTGTTTAATACGTTTTATATTTTCTTTATTTCGGTGCTAATAGAAAAACCAAATTAAATGTCCACCAGCGAGATAGAAATGCAAAGATCGATGATCCTGCCCCGACTGTCCAATCGCCCCTATTTAATTGACTGTATTTTCGGGGTAATTGAACTGCTTGTTGTAAATTGAGGATTTTATAGAAACGACATGAAAACTGCATTTACTGACATTCATCGCATCTTTGACATTGATTATCTGATCAGCGCCGTGTCATGCTAACCTCCAATTCTTCATTACACACTGTTTATGAGCTGTTACAGAACAACTTGCTTGTTTCAGAGTGATTGATTGCCTTATTAACGCGTGTTCTTGTAAGTGTGACCGGACTGATTACGATGCATATGTTTAGAATAATGTTTCATTTAGCTGACTGCGAGTAATGTAGGGTGACAGCTGCTGTGGGAGGACAAAAAAACCTAAACTACAGGGAGCAAGCGGGGCCAAAACGCATTTAAGGTGGAACTAGTAGACAGCAAAGACCCCTGATGGTCAAATGCGGTCAGTCAACGCCAGATGAAGGACTGGCAGCTCAAGAAGGCTCTTATCTGAGCCAACTCAGGACTAAATATAACATTATTATATCTTCATTATTATCATTATTATAAGAAAAGAAGAAGAAAAAACCACACCACGTGAACCTCCGTTGTGTCATCCAGTTCTCTGAAAGCAACTTATATTAACATCTGTGAGACAAAGCTCTTAAAACATATGAAACATTTGAATCTGATGCATTGCAGTATTTTCAACTGACATGCCAGCTGTTACATCAAAACATTAAAATCAATCAAATCTCTCTCAGCACGGCCAAAAAAGCATTCCAGCACTACAAACCTCAATCCTGTTACGGTTTACATATTCACCTGGAGTATTTTTCCTAACAAATAAAACATGCAACATGATTCTGATGAGATTTATGCCAGCATTGTGCTTCTAAAGTCGCTGCTCGGTTTGTCTCAAATCATTGCCTGTGTTCAAATGTTACTTACATGACATTAATTCAACTATAGCTCATTAAGACGGAATGAAATGGTTAAATTAACTTATCAAGTCATAATGATGATGAATGAGGTATTAATTCAGATACAAGCTGGGCAATTTGCAATTTTGTGCGTTGAGATGCTCTCAAATAACATTTAATGTAACGGGTCATCCGCTCAATCAATTACGAGAGTATAGTCGGTCGTATGGAAAATCCTTTTTTCATGCATATGTATCGAAACATGTTCTCAATTATGTTTGGAAATTGTGTTCTTTTTGTTTAAAGACCAATGTAGTGCTGTGGATACTGGAATACGTTGCTATTCTTACATATTAAAAGATTTTGGATGTACACCATGGTTGTAAAATGTTAAAATATCACAAGAAAGACAATTAGTACATTAGAAATATATAAAAATGTTGATGTATATGTACATTGGGTGAAAAAGTCAAAATGTGTATATCTTTGACTTTTGACAAGGAATGAATCATTTTATTGCAAGGAATGTTTTAGATTAGTTTCTTGTGTAATTATTTAATAAGTCAGGATCACAAGAGGTCTGTTATTTAAGAAAAATAAAAAAAATATATAGAAGCCTTGAAAGTGTTCAAAGACAAGATCTGGAAGATTAATCCTCAGTAGCACAAAGAGACCAACAATCCGGACGTGTTACAGAAAATCAATCAATGCTCTGAACTAAATTTATAGAGGTTGATAGACTCAAACAATAGTCCCTTTTTATTTTTTCGCACAAGTTGCTGTGAGGTTTCTCCCCAGTGACCACCTCAGTGTTGGGGATTCCACATTATCTGAATCAGACGTTGGAGTCAAAATGGAGAGAGTTATTCAAAGTGAAACATTTTCGTGTCCATGTATTCAGGGATTATTAGTTATGTTTGACCTGGTTTGACCTATATGGTCATGACTTTTCAAATGCACCTGATATGTCCCTGAATACTTTCATGAGCGCTACAAAGCAGAAAAGAAATACAACTCAAAATGCAATAAAATAAAACATTATTCCATAGGTCAATGTACAAGGACTTGAACTTAAAGTTCTTATATAAAAATATATATATATTTCAGCTGTACCGTTTCCTTATATACTCAACCATTCATATTTTAATCTCAAACTGGTACCCTTAAATGTCTTGAATTGGTCCGTAGCTTCCTAAAACACTCACACAGTAACTTAAACACAATATTTACTTGGGTAACTAACTAATTTTACCATAGAACGTGGATGTGGGTGTAAACCATGTTTGACTGAGGTGAGTGGTGGGCAATAAGGATCCAACTCATAACAATACAGTTTTATATTGCAGCATACATTAATTATATGTAGGCCCACACCAAACATTTTTATGACTGCTTTAAAGATAGTCAACTATGAAATAATGACCATATATTGAATATTATAATATGAAAAAATTACATAAAAATCAAAAAAATGACACTAATGAAAAAAAAATTGCAACATTGATGACAATGGGCTATTAATCAAAACAGACATTGACTTATATTCACTGTATGGGAAGTTTAACTTGGCGTAAACAGAATGTAGGAATCATTGCATGTTTTTACTTCAAATTAATGAAAAATGCATAGAAAAATTATATGGATCAAGGCAACTCAAAGGTTTTCTTCTCCAGAGTGGGAATCTATAGTTGGAAGATAAACATAGACAAAAGGGGGACGGTGTCTCTGGGCAAAACCCACGTGCTGGTAATCGACCTCGGATGTAGACGATCATCTCATGCACCACGTGATTGACTGGACATTAACGCACAAACATCTTGCAATCATTTGACCCAAAACACATTGTGCTCTCTGTCAGGTACTGATTAAGGTGAAATATGATTGCAGTTTTTCCAACAACAACCCAACTGACCCCAAAACCACGGACCAAATGGGGCTTTATGTATCCTTACAATTTGACCACAGACATCCTGTAAGAGTTTGAAGGACTTTGTGTCGTCCTCAACAAGAAACTCCACATTATTATCCGTTCTCCATTTTCGCACACCCATTGGTCTCCTTAACGCCAACCACTCAGAGCCAACACACACCACTGACCATAGCACATAACTTTAAACCAGGTACTCACCGTGTGTGGCCATTTCAGATGAGGTTGCCTTTAGACCCACATCGGCACATCATCCTTTTCTGACATCCACTTTTCTTGAGATTGGTGTCAATATTAAGCCCTTTCTGGTCCTCAGCAAGGAAATGAGATGAGAACATGGATTCCTGAAAGTGAACAAACAACTGGGCTTTAAAAGGACTAATGGTGTATTTGGCAATGAAAGAGCAGCGAGTTAAATGTATCCACCTCCATTTGCTACAACACATCTTTGTTCTGGTTGGTGGTTGGGATCTGAAGCACTCCTTGTTGCTGCAGCCTCCACAGTAGCTACAGCTGAAGCTACTGCTGTTTGACTGACTGCCTGGGTGCTCTGTACAAAAAGAGATCCATTATTACATTTAAATACCCCCGCCCGTGCTTACAGGTAATGTGTCATCCATTGAAAAATAGCTTACCTCGGCCTTGGAGACCACAACAGCCACATCTGGTTCATAGCTGCTCAATAGCCAACAGTCGGTCAAAAGTAAAAGTTACATTTTTTCTAATTCAATTCAAAGAGTAATTAACTCGGTAATGTTAGCAGTAGTGACTGCGGGACGAAGCTTCATAAAGATTTGAAGCTTTCTAAGAAACTGATTTGCAAAAGAGTACATTTCTTGAAGTTTCACAAGCAAATAAAACCACGAGCTGGACCAAAGTGTAAAAGAGGCAGATATGATCTTCACCCTGATCTGTGATGCTGTAGTTTGCGTCAGCAAAGGCTGCTGGAAATTACTTACCAATCTAATAAAAATAAAATGAAGTTGGAATACATTTATCACAATACAGTGCCTTTAGTTCCAGGTTGTTTGATAATGTTATAACAGTTCGGTATAATAAACAGTGATTGTCTTGTGGGTAATAAATCCATTGTGTGTAAACCAATCATTTCCTAACATAATAACAGCAGGATATGTGGGTTCTAAAATTGGAAAGGGGCAATGGTTCAAATGGGAAGAGGGCAGCGGATGTGGTATAGCATAAGTGGGGAAAGTATATAGAGGGGACTATTTGTTTTTATTGAGATATAAATACCTGAACAAGTCCAGGAGAATGCACATGTAGGCTTTGGGCATTTGTGCATCGCGGAAAACGTACGGGAATTTCTGCATATTGAAACCTGGTGCGACAAGTCAAATCAAAAGCTAGTACTTAGCTTGTTGTGGAACCATAGACTGTGTGCATACATGTTTTGGGATATTATCCACAATTGCTCCAGTATTTTGCATATGCAGCACTGGCTAACGTGTAGCTTCCAAGAGCGGCCATGTTTCTATGTTGCACAAACATGAATACATGCATGGGATCAAATGCAGCACCGTGATGCGCGGTCTCCATGCTGTTTGTCATGCTGCAAGCACTCTATACCTTCAAGGAAGAGCAGGCAAATAGGAATATGACTGCTCATGCTTAAGTTTGGTGGGCCAGTTTCTTGTATTCTTCTTTTTTTAATTCTCCCTGTGATTCAACACAATCGGAAGCGATTGGTTAACATGGACCCAAACAAGCCAGCCTGCTACTGATTGCCCCCAAAGTTTGCTGCTTCTGCCACTTTTTATTGTTTCCTTAAGATGTATCTTTGACGTTGGTTCACAGCTATGTAACATTCTTCTTCCAAGGTTCTGACAGAACTCGTGTGCATCAAAACACAACAAGAACACGGCTGCATCATGTAGAGTCATAGTTCCCATAGTTGAACTTAAAATGCTTTTTGACAGTTTCTGGTCCATGAACACAGGGTTACTTCACAACCTGACTTGAGTTGGTGTTAAAAGGACTATGGTTTTACATTAGGTCACATTGGAGTTTTTATTAAATACGTATTTGCTTATGTATACATTTCCTCCTTTTGGAATAACCATGTAGTGTGATTTTTGTGCTTGACAGTGACCTCTTCCCATGTCTCAAGACATCTTTTTAATTAAAAAGTTTATGATAAATGTGAGGAATTTCATGAGCTGTAATGCCCTATTGAATTAATCTAACCGATTTGGAGTTTATTAAAATTGCAAAACCATTACAATTAATTCATTTTAACCATTATTACAGTACAATTAACTTTTCCAATCAAAGCACAAACACTTTTAATCTATTCTAAAGAGCAGTTGAATCCACTAAATGAGCAAACACCACAAACCAATGAGGCTTCAGCTGAGAAGAGATTAGGAAACACGAAACACATGTGGGCAGGGTTCGGTCTCGGCTAAATCTTTTTGTGGCGCTGATGTTTAACTGGCTGTTCATCCAAGCAAATGCATCCGTGCGCTCTTATCTCGATTCCAGCTTTTCTTTCTTCTTTCACAACCAAACACCAGGGCAAAGCAAAATGTTTTACAAATATCTCAACAAATGGATGACCTTGACTTATGGTACGGATATAAAGATGGTACTGAAGATGAAAACATAACAAACTTAAGCCCAGGAACCATATTCTTACTACACAAAATAAAGAAACAAAGTCTTGCTAAAATAGAGCAGACATGGTGGTGGGCATTCATTTGATATATCCTCCAAGGTAAGAATGGTTTCAAAGTCTTAAAAAATATCTTTGAAACAAACCAACTTTTAACATCGATTTTATTCCAATGTCTTCACCCAACATTGGGCTTTTTGTAATCTGTTCATCGGCTCATTTTGGCACGACCACTGGCCTTCAGCGTGCTTTGCAATGACCTTGACTTATAACGGCTAATTGATACAAGTGGGAATGGCTGACATGAAGCATTTACTGTACACGGTATCACAACAACAGCGTCACAATAACTGTTACTCATCTAGAAAAAAAGAATGCATCATGAATCATGCATCATTTAAATGTGATGCCCTTATCATACTATTAATACAACAAGCTACAACATCAACAAAAACACACCCACTAGACTAATAGCTCAGCTAAAGTTCTAGTAATTCATAACCACAAGTGTTACACACACTTACACACGTTTCTTCCTATTTGAACAAGTTTATTTTTTGCATAAGAATCCCTTCAGTCCACGCGCGGGGGTCGTTGGGCATCGAGGGTCCTCGTCAGGCCGGAGCATTAGAAGCAGTGAAGGCGCCGCTCGGGCTCCATGATGCTCTGCTAGCAGACACTCCCCCATTTTGGCTCACTATCGCTCCGTCAGGCGACAGGAGGACGGCGGTCGAAACCGGGACAGCTCCGCTCCGGTAAAAACGCCCCGCTGTGTTTCCAGACACTTCATTCACTGTCGTTAATGTGCTCTGCGGACTGACGTTATTTTGGTGTCCTCTTTCTCTGACAAAGGACGTTAACTTAAGTTTGCAACGACTTCCGTTACTTCTCGCTACCGACCGCAGGCTGCTGCGGCGTTAGCATCCGCAGCTAGCGGTTGGCTGCCCGGGGTTAGTGGGACGGCTATGCTAACGCTAACAGTTCACTCCATCGATGCATTAAGTGGGTAGAAAGTTATTTAGCGGCACGTTGTTGTTTAACCGTCACCCCTGGTTACGCTGTAACTGTAACCAACGTTCCGTTTACGTCAGTTGCCTCTGAAAACATCAACAACGAGTGAAGTCGTTACGTTTGGTGACTTCGTTTAACTTCGCAAAGGTCACCGTTTCACACAGAAGACCCCGATAAGTTTGACTAATGGAAATACTAGCGATAGCTAGTCAACTCTTAACTAGCTATGCTCAAACTGTTAGCTAGCGTTAAATGCACCCTGCCATAAAAGGAATACTGTTTTCGTTGAAACCGCCTTTGACACGATGCAAAGTCAGCACTATTTTGGAAGCAGTTATTTATGGAACTGATGCGTTGCGTTGCCCTTTTACTGAAGGATTTGTTCCTACTACATCCTCCAAACCATTTAACATATACGAGTAATAATATACGGCATTTTTGATATATTAGAGTTCAATTGGAACACAGTAAATTGCATTCCAAACCATCTCCCTCTCAAGCAGCCTCCAGAGAAAGTTGAGTTTTATCAAATCCTTTTATCAATTGCATTGCACTGCATGAGTTGTATGTTCATGTGCCTCTTAAATTGTTTACCGAGTGTATATCAAAGCTCATAACTGTTGTCAACAGGTGGAGAGGTTACCTGCTAGAGGAGATCACAGAAGACAAAACAGAATATCCTTCAATCCTCGACAGAACATGGGGGCCGTCATCTCCCGGTGGAGGGTTTGTTGTCCTACTACTTAATTAAGATAATGTTGTTATTGCGTCATTTTTACTTTGTCAAAAGACATTTTTAGCTACAATGTTTGTAACTTTTAAATATGAGAAGCGGCCATGCAGGACAAGTAATTCGACCAAACAATATATCCGACACAAACAGGGGTTATACATAAATAAAAAAATTAAGATGTTTATGCAAATCTTCATAGCCTAATTTAAAAATATCTGGTTCAACGAAAGAGGACAAGTATGATAAGCATACAAAATAAGTGGAAAGGAGATGACTGCGGGAGTATCCAGATGTTTTCAAGAAGTTGCATGCACAAAATGTCATCATTTCTTCACACTCACTTGAATTTCCAAATGTTTGTCTTACAGACTAAACCATCCACTGTGGAGATTTTGGAGGGAATTGATAAGGTATGCATTTTCTTGTCGTGAGATGATGACCTGCAATACATTTTTCTGCTATTCTAGAAAATCAACAGTGTTTTATGTCTTCTCGCTCTCCTGTTTAATGTAGAGTATTTTACAATGATTCTCTAGATGTCACAAACACCCATATGATCTAAACCAATTTATACTCTGCATTGAATTAGTACAATTTAATTTATTCTCTGGGCTGCACCACTGTCAGTGGGACATTTGAAGGGACTTTTTGGGGGTAAATTTTTGGGGGTACAAGTAGACTGTTGTTCATTAGACATACTTAAGTTTTATTTTTGTATGTCTGGCCATCAGTTATATTGGGTAACAAATTAAAAATCAGCTCCTGATTGGCTGACTGATGGGTCTTAAGTGCTCTTCTACAGCTAAGCTAGTGTTGGGCTATTTTCAGCAAATGTCCTTGGAGCCAAAGGCACTACACATATACTGAAGAGGTCAGGGGGACATTGACATGTTGAAGAGACAGTGGTTTTGCTCTATAACGTTATCATGGGGATTGGTTCCCCACACATACACAAAGGTATAGTTGTTCTACGGTGAGGCTGTTTATCCAGTGCTTGGAGTGACAGACACACGTGTTACAGGAGACCCGTAGTGACCAGAGGGGTTCCCAAAATGCTCGCTAGCTATTTATAGATGCCCTAAACAGCGCCTTGACGCGCTGAGGTGACTTTTCTATATGAGGGAAAAGATGAATGAGCCATTTGTTCATTGGAATTATATAAATAGCTGCCTGTCTTTCCAGATGAGAAGTTGATAGCTTTTGTTAGGTTTCCTCCTAGTAGTTACTGCCAAGTAAGAATGATATTTCTCTGATATGCAGGTTCAGCTTTATAGCTCCATTTCCGCTAAAAATATTGGTGTTCGCGTCTAAAGTTTGTAAATCTATAAAACTCATATTCACTGTAGGGAGACATCACATTTAAGGCAGTGGTGACCCTGGATCCTATTTTGTACTTCAAATAAAACAAATATTCTCACTTAAGGGTGGGCTAGCACCACACTGGAAAAGCCTGCTGTGAATAATGACACAGTCCTAAGAATCAGGTCACCGCAATTTCATTTCACTGTACCTTTTTTAAAGGAGTTCCTCTGACCTGTTGATAAGTTGAGTTCTTTGTTTGGCTGCTGTTTCTCTCAGATAATTCTATATTGACATACAGACAATGTATGCAAATTTTCATCTAAAATAATCAAATTGTGACTCGCTGTAATCCATTGAATGAGGCTGTGCGTGTGTGTGTGTGTGTGAAGCCATAATGGTTATTTTTATGGCACTTTGATTAATTGTAGTCTGTAAGGAATCTTAATCCCATCTTACTAAGGGTAATCACATTTGTGTTTTGACATGACTCTCTTTTGAATTGTTTTCCTCCCAGGATCTACAGACCCTCCAGGAATACAGTGAGAAGTACCAGAGGCAGTTGAAGATATGGGTCGGGCGACTGCTTCTGTACTCTTCTCTTCTCTACCTCATCACGTGTATAGTTGTGTATCTCTGGTTCCTGCCTGAACTGTTGATGGGACAGCTCATATTGTCTCTTCCCTTTGTAGTATTTCCCTTATTGTAAGTGTGCAAAATAGTCTGTCATATTTTCACTTAAGCTGTAACTTCAAGGTATTGTAAGCAATCAACATTTTTTCCTCTTTTCCCTTTTATCAGAGTTTGGTTACTTAGAAAAATGCTTATCGTTATTTTTCTCGAAGAACCGAAAACAACAGTAAGATCCTTTTTGAATATTTATACATAACTTATTTTTCTGTTAACCAATGTTGAATTTTTGACTAAAATCGTATTTTTTTTTCCAGATGAAAAATTAGAAGATCTTAAATCACGAAAAAGGAAAATAGTAAGTGATGTTTTTCTGTTTTCAGTTATTATGGATTTTTTCAGCTGTGGTTTCCCTTTTGTCTTTTACTCCAAATACTTAACACAGATATTTGTAATATTCCCTATACACAAGTTTCATGCGTCTTCGGGCCACGTCATGGGGTTTCCTGCAAAAGGAGGACTCGCCCTTCCTTCAAGTTGTGTAGGAGGCGTGTAGAGGCGCTCTCATCAGTCCTCTCAGCGTTTTCCTGCGACATACTTTCTTATGCGGGATCTGTACAGAGGGTTTGATTTGTACAGTGACTTAAGCCAGCAAACCACTAATGGCCCTTTAATAGCACTTAGTGCAGGAAAGAAATGCATCTGAGAAATTGCTTGTCATCCTCTGTCAAGTCTATTAAGTTTCAATAATTAGGGCTGATGGATTTTCACACTTTCCATTATCGAAGTAGTGAATGTAATTATTCTTCATATTTTATGTAAACATTTAGAAATCTTTGGTACTTAGATGAAGATGTACTCTTTAGTGAAGTAACTTCCTTGTGCCGTTTCTTATATTTACGTGTAATCTTATCGTTGGTGATTCTAAGATATCGATGCGTGTTTATGAAACACCTTTTAATTAAATTGGATGACCAAGTAGTTACTAAGCAATAGAGCTATTATTGTAGGAATATTTGAATAAAGTCAGTTTGCATTAATGCCCTTAATACTTTTTAATACTGTCTTGTTTTTTCCAGCTTGAAGAAGTCATGGAAACGGAGACGTACAAAAATGCTAAAATTATCCTTGAGCGATTTGATCCCGATTCCAAAAGAACAATTGTGAGTGGCTTTCTTTTAACTTTGATATATATATATATTATATCAATCAATCTCAATTATTATACATGTTTTCCATATTAAAACAGTATTTTGCACTTGTTCTTTCTTTTTCCATTTTAAAGGAGCTTGACTCCACACCAGTTCGACCCCAGATGACTCCAAAACCAGGCCAAGGTACGAATGAGTTCTGCACACCGCACTCTTTTTTTTTTTTTTTTTTCCCCCCACTGCTCCTTTTGCATGTCTTACTATTGTTCAGTAAACCACAATCGTTTTCTGTGTTAGAGCTCCGCCAGCGCAATGTCATCCCGAAGACCCCCACGGTGGCGGTGAATGCTGCGAGCGGAGCTGCTGCTCGCCCCCCTCTTAGCTCTGGGTCCACCTTTCCCGGACGGTCCTCCCACTCTGCTCCAGGTGGACCCCCAGAGAGGGGCCTGTCTGCTGTGGCTGCTCAGCAGAACTTGATGAGGAGGCCTGTGACCCCGGGAACACCTGTTCCAGGAGTCGGTGAGTTACCTGCACACAGGGGAACCTCGTCATAATGTGCTCCATTAAGGTGTGATTTACTCTTCTCTGGCTCGACGTCCCTGGTTGCTCAAGGCTCTGTGTTGGGTGTTGTCAGCAAGGGTGGTATATGTTATACAGAAGTTCTAATGTGTAACTAATTGCAGGAGTGCAGTTTTTTAAACAAGCCTTTATTAAACGAGTGTATAATTGAGAACTATGATTAGAATTGGGGTTTATCTTTTGAGGCGGTCAGTGTTTACCCGGAGAGTAAGCAGCATGTGCTTTACAAAGCAGGCCAACGCGGGGAAAACTTTCCATAGAACAGTTGCTGAATACGGAAGACATCTGTGCAGTGCAGAGTGGCTGGATATTCAATATAAATTATTTATGGACTATGAACACTCAATAGAAGATGCAAATAAGTGCAAATGGTAAAGGACGTGTGTTCCTAGAGGAAGCCGCATGCTGTAATTGCCATGTGGAATGCCAACTGTGAGGTGTGCACGAATCAGGATTACATTAACTATGATTAATTATCCAGACCTGCGTTTGTTCTCTGGGCAATGCTGGTGGAATCTTGCTAAATGTCTTTTAATGCTTGGTGAAATTGCCGTTGCCATTTCAAACACCTTGCAAATGGTTTACACGACTTGATGTTATCACCTGCTTCTGCTGAAAATTGAAAGTGAAAAGCAATTTGATACAAAGCGTCACCACAGAGTCTCCATATGTTGGTAAATTAATAACCAGCAGGATATTGAGACTCTGCCAAGTCTCACAGAAATGACCAGTCATCTTCCTATGATTGCTGTTGATGTTAGATTAGATTAATTAGTACTCACCAACACAGCAGGGATTCTGGACGTGCATTTAAGCGAGATCCCGTGTTAATTCATTAGGAAAAAGGCACCGGTTTGTGTAACATCCGTCACGGTTTGTGCAGTAAACTACATTTCAGCCCCACTGTTTCACTGAGTTTTTCCCGTAAGCAGCCTCTGTTTAATGCAGTTTGTATTCAAGTCTGCAGAACGTCTTACGGGCATTGCTGTTCTTTAGCAGGGATGCACCCCCCAGGCCCGCCGCTGGCCAGACCGGTGGTCCCAAGGGAAAGAGGCGCTATGGACAGAGTCATTGAGTATCTTGTTGGAGATGGCCCTCAGAACAGGTACTCCGCCTCTGCTTTTGAACATCCACTATTTAGTTTTAGCATAACACGTATATGTATACAACGTATCATTTATATGTAATATTAAGATGGTTTTTATCCAAGCTATGAAACCGCAGTGGTGAACTATCTTTTATGTCTTCCTCGTAGATACGCTCTCATCTGTCAGCAGTGTCTGTCCCATAACGGCATGGCATTAAAGGAGGAATTTGAATATGTTGGTAAGACTTAAAAGGAACGCACCCTCTTGTCAGTCTCCATCAAATACTGCGCCTTCGTTTGCCCTCTAGCTTTTGGCAGTGTAGTATATCATGTAGCTCTTAAATGCCGCTGCTACAACCGACCCCTGTAAGCAAAAACGCAGAAAGATTGAATATGCAAACCAGTGCTACACATCAATCTGAAGTGTTTATGCATCTCAGGCATTTTCTGTCATTGGTTCACATTCATGTATATTAATCTATGTCTGTTCCGAAAATGCATTGGAGAAGTGACATAAACTGTGTTTATGTGTGCGGTGTTTGACTTGTGTTGTTTCAGCCTTCCGATGCGCATATTGTTATTTCTTGAACCCTGCAAGGAAGACCAGGCCTCAGGCCCCCAGACTGCCTGAGGTCGCTGGCGAGCTGAAGGTGTCATCCGACGAGCCCTTACCTTCGTCTGCCGCCGATGTAGAAGTTGACCAATCGCTTTTAGGTGAGAACGGCACGTACGCAGCTTTCATCTGGACATGGTTAACAATATTAGTATATTTAACTAAATTAAATGTTAACACTGTAGTCTAACACGCATGCATATCCTCTGCTTTTATACTATTTTTATATTTTTTCAATTTAAAAAAACAAAATCTAAATCAGGGCAAACCAAGCCAGCAGATGTTTCAGCTGAAGCGGACACCCAGGAGCCCGGCACACCAACGTCCACAGAGCCCAGCTCGGCGTCAGACAACCAAAGCACCCCCGAGTCTCAAGATCTGCCCTCGGAGAAATCTGACGCAGAGCAAGATGTGTCTGCCATGGAAGTGGAATAAAGCGATGCCAGTCAGGCTGAAACGTTTATTTTTAAGAAATGTGATTACCGTTGACTTGCAAGTAAACGCCGTGAGTTGAGTCGACCCAGTAAGAAGTTAGCAGGTGATGTGATTTTCAACTTACAGTCCAGAATGTCCTTTTCTTTTGAGAATTGTTTTTATAGTCCTAGCAATAGTATCTTTCCTGTATGAGAACATGTCTTATTCTCGACAGGATTATACTTCATGTTGTGGATTTAGAATTTCTTTGTTTTCTTTACTTTCAATATTTTATGTTTGTCTTGGACAGAACTTCTTAACAGTATTCTATATGAGTTAATTTGATACTGCGGGGAAAAATACTATTTTGTGGGTAAAATTTATTTATGGGAAAATATTTATAAATACTTTTCGATAATGCTTTGCCTCTCATGGCGGCGTTGAATGGGGTACTTTGTAGCACGGGGATGCTGATATGTTTACACAACAATGGTACCGCAATACAAATGCAACACAGTATATATTTATTGCTAAATGGAGATCTGTCAGTACTGTGCACTCGTCCCAAGTGCCTTTTCAAGTCTCTTTTAGAGCGCTGTTGATACAACCTGTTTACACAAAGACGCTGTCATTAAACTGTTTACAGACTGTATCTGTTTTCTGTATGTCGGAATTCTTGTTCTGTATGAATAATGCTAAATAAACTTTTGAGAGCATCTGTCTTCATGTGTGTTCAGAATCACAACGCATTCAGCGAGACAGTTATTTATTTTTTTAGTAAGGCTGAAGAATTCTCTGACTGATGTTGGTGTGAAAACAATCACTTTGCTGCATTTTAAAAGTGATTCTCCATTGATACCGAAATATGGATCTAACGGTCAAACTAACATGTAAATAGCCATAATGGCAATAGCTTGGTTATTCGTGTCACTTTCTTTGTGTCATGTATTTTAAACTGCCCCCCTCCCATTTCTTCTCCGGCCGCCTTCTCACTCAGGAGCATGTTTAAACGGTCCATTTTCATTAGCAGGCCAATTTTAGCCTGTGATCATTTTATTTTAGCTCATTGATCATTTCAGACAGTGTAAGATAATAGGCCTGACACCGAGCCCGACCACTCTTGATTGCTTGACCCTCTTCATTTGCAACACGAAACTCATTGCGGCTACAAAGTTGCTCTCTGCCATCACATGACCCCCTTTTCCCCTGAAGATAGACCGTAAACCATCCGTGAGGTCAACACCCCACGTCTTCTATGGGTTTTGATAATGTATGTTTACAGAGACGTGACCTCCTGGGCCTTGTAATGCATCAATGTGACACAGACAGTAACGCCCGATTCCACCGCATGCTGTTTGAGGTTGACCTCTGACAAGAGCCAAACGGGGGAAAAAATGGGACATCAATAGGACGATGCTTGCATGTTGTCATGCCATTGGGAGGTTGTCCGGTGTACATAGCTTGCACATATGTGCATCATCATAAGTGATATATCACGAAAGCGCTCTGTGCTATGTGTTTTTAAAATGTATGTCTGAGTAATATTTTTGACTCCACAGCACTGAATCATTTCTTGACAGTTTGTACAGCTGAGATCAACAATTGTGTTTTGTGTGCCCAGTTTTCAACTCAGCTTAACAACATTCAGTTTCAGAGACAGATGAGGGGTCACAGACATCTTTGCCTTTTGCAACTTTTACCATTTATGTAGTGGCAAACCAGGCCTTTTAATTTGAAATTAACCCTCTAATCAAGATTATATTATAATTTGGACTAAATTGACCTTGATATTAACCTATTGATAAACAGTTAAGACGCTGCCTGCATAATGTGAATACAATAGATACACTCTGGTTCTTGTGTCTAACTGAACAAAAGGATTACATCTGGATTGCTATCATGGAGACGCTAATTGATTTTCAAGGATGACAAATGACATACAAAGCCCCCGTGCCAGGGTAATTTTGAGCAAGCGATGAAAATGTACAGCAGAGCTGTCCCAAGGTTCATAGTTCTTTTCATACTCATCTCTCACATGTGCATTCGAGGCCACTTGACTCAAATTTATACTGATCTTTTATTTATACCCAGAAAAAATGGCAGATAAGAAACATAAGTGTTCTTGATATTGTGTTTTGTCATATCTAGCAGCCAAAGATTGAAATCCTGCGAAACAATTTTCTGTAGAAATGAAAGAGCGTGGCCTTCTGAACCTCGGAGGAAAATAACCCTGCGGTGCGAAGCCGAATATGAAACAGAGGCACAGAATAAGTAAAATAGACAAGTGCACCAGGCCTGTCACTTTTCCATTTGCTGCCCCCGAGTGTGAGCACTTCAATATTCTCCTCATCTCGGTGAAGACCTTCATCGTTATGCCCTATCTACTGTACTGAATACGAAAACAAAACACCATAACAGACAAAAGTAATAAAAAAGGGACTTTTAAAAGATTTACCATGTTTGTGTCCATCAGGAAGTAGAATGAAAAGAACAACAAAGTCGTAAATATACAACACAAGCCCTTGCGCATTGGAGGCGATGTGGAAAACGCTCAGATGAGTGTCGCAGAAGCACTTTAACATGGTTTTTGATATCAAACATCACCATTGGCTCTTGCCAACGGCATCATTACACAGTAATAAGAGCACAATCTCCTTCAGAGAAGCATTAAATTCAGATTAGATTATACAAGAGCCTGGCTTGATGAGCTGCGAGGGGAGATGGTTCCCGAGCACTGGATCTCTGCTTATCACAGTTGCTCCGTAGCTGCTCGGGCTTGAATTGCCGCATGACAAAGTTGATCAGTTCTTTAACAAAAGGTCATCAGCTTCCCAAGAAATTAGCTTTTTAAATTCAAGTCATTTGAAACGTACACACCCAGATGGATGGACCTCCGCCCCCCCCCCCCAAATTCAATCTGTCAAATCACCAACGCATGCCGCTGAATACGTGATGCCGGCAATAAACCACTGTGCCGCAGTTTATACCAGAGTGACATTCAGGGATCAGAGAGCATTGTCATTCTCTGTCCTATCTTGAACTCATTGCGCCACTGAGGGATGACATCTGTTTGAGCACTCATACACTTTGACAATTATTACTGCAAACAATCTACTGTGGCACCTTGATTAAATAATAAACTATAAGGACAAGTGCGATATAGAGCCTACGCATGGAAATGTCTACCACATCACAGCAATAAACAGTAAGACACTGAACATTGAGATGCTAGCGTGTACGGGATGCGCTCCAAATATGGCAATTTAATATATTTGACCTGTTCTTGCTTTCAATGTTCCTTTACATGTTTTTTGTTCTTCACAATTGATATATTGGTTGATTGTATATTGGGTCAGCAGAGAACATGCCCTCGGAATCAATGACATACAACCAGATTGACCTAAATTTAAAAGTCGTGTCATATGCATAATAATTCAATCATAGAGTATAGCACAAATAGGGAGGAATTGGTAGGCCGAGACAACACACTCTTCGGCTTCTGCCTCGTGTGGAAATCATACAAAGCATCCTGCAGGCAGCAGGTTCATTTTATAGCTTCATCTATTACCACACTGTCATTGTTAATTGTCTTCTTTTTACCTCTGCAGGATTTTCCAAAGTGGTCCTATCGAATGTGACAGGAGGAAGAGCATTAAGCATCTGACAAGATGATATCTAAGTTCAATTTCCTTCTCCTCACCTGATTTATACCTGCAGCAGATCATTTTCCTTTCTGTCATAAAGACCTCTATAAATCAGTGGTGCTTATGGAAGCACTACAGAACAGGGTCTCTGGATTCGTATCCCCTGTGTTCGCTATTAGGAAGCCATTACAGCCACATTTTCCTCCTTCAAACAAAAATGATCAAATCTAATACTGGCGAGATTAGAGCGATAAAGAGAGAAAGCGCCGGCAGAGCTGTTCAACGCGGAAACGCTATCTAAACAATATGCGCTAAACTCAATAAAAAACAGGCTTTTCCGCCGGTGACACCATTATCCATCTGTTTGGACAAAATTGCTGTATCATAGTATAAATCTGCGATACAAGTGACATATCCTCTAAAATAAAAGGGAACATTAACTGCTCTATCTTCTAGAGGCCATGGGACTAGCTGGCTATAAGCTCACTCAAGTGTGATGGCAGTTATACTGTGTTTTACTAGACTGCAGACAATTATACTTTGCTCCTCTCCCCTAAGAAGACAAACTGCCACGGCTTCAGCTGAAATGATTTCAAATAGATTTTCCAAAATGTCTGTCGCCAGATTGCTTCCATACATTATTTCACTTAAATGGAGAGAAAAAAAGAGGGAGCAAATCCACAAATCAATCACAACAGCCCACTTCACCAGATGGAGAGACGAGAGCTTTCACTGAGTGTGTGTCTGTGTGTGTGTGTGTTTGTCGAAAAACCTACAGAGAAGGACAGTTATAGGATGTGCACAGTCCCGTCTCTTCTGTACGTGTCTCACTCATCTTGAAGGATGACATCGAGTATCTACTCTCAGCGGTGAGCTGGCAGTGCTGTAAAAGTGGAATAATGTATAATGAACTGACCCGTTGACACACTGGTCCGTTCACTTGATCGCAATCCGTTAAGAGGAGAGGGACATTTAATTATTTCAAATGAGTTGTATACTATTGCTTCGTTTCCTTTGGTAACACAGGAATATGCTTATGAGAGAAGATAAGATGAGAAGAGAAATAAAAACACAGTAGGTGGAAATGCGACGAGGGTGGAAAAATACTATTATAATAATATTATAATCCTTTACATTGTTGCACATTCACCGACCAACATATGGGCTAACATATAATTCTAACGCTATCTCGTTTAACAACCATTTTTATCATGTAGTCATCTATTTTTGACCTGTAATTACACATCCATGTGGGAGACTATTAAAAAAATGATGCTTCATTCACACCAACCAACAGGGATGGTTGTTTCAGCCAGATTGAGCTACACTGAGTCGGGCCTCTACTTTTCACACACGAATATGCCGAATAGAGCCAACTTGTTATCCTTCTCTGAGTTTATCTCAGTGGAGAAGTTAGCTAGATTTGAGTGGGGTAATGCATTAATTCAATCTTCAGTATAACTAACACCACAATTGCTTTACGACACCGTGATTCCACTGGAGAAAAGCAAGTCTGATTTTGAATTAGCTCGTGAGAAATTGCTCACGCTGTGTAGCTGGAGGTGGAGCAGAGATGCTGCAGTGCTTTTCTCCTGTAAAGCAGGTTGTTTTTTTGTCAGAGCATTTTAATTGATAACTGTTTAGATTTAACGTTTTTTCCAAGAACTATGACAAAAACCATTCCAGAATTTGTCCGGCCTCCTTTGACCTGTTGGATGCTGTTGCAGTGTTTTCATCGTGGTCTCCTTCTGGAATGTCCTGATGTGAGTGGTTATGATTATTATGTCCACGTGTTCAGTGCCTCCAGATAGCACGTAAGGCCGAGTTCCTTTAATATTTGATGGTTGGATAACATACGCTAAAGTAATTTGTTCTTAAAGAAAATGTAAAAGCTCCTCATATATGGTATACAGTACCGGTAAAAAGCTCAGACACAATTCAATGGGAAAGTGTGTCCGAACCTTTGACTGGTGCTGTATATGTACATAAATATGTTTTGCAGGATGCATGAGGATGTATTTCATGTAGTTTTTGTAATTTATGCTTTCTAGTATAACATTTTTGACACAAAG